GCTGGCAGTGTGTTCCAATGAGTACAGTCAGTCTATATTTGACTTTTGGGCTGGAATTTCCAAAACAAGAACTGATTTCAAACGATATTGCAGGGCAAGGCCACAAAGAAAGGCATCTTGGCTTCAGAAAGGACAAGCATGAGCCTGGGTCCCAGTCTCTGAAGAAGAACCTCTCACTGCCTGTGCCTTCATTCTGTGTGGACCCGACCCCCCGGGTCATGTGTATGTGTATTTTCCTGGTTCTTCTAGATTGCCAGACTCCTTAGAGCCTGATTCTGACCTCTTTCTGTTCTCCACAGTGCTAGTCTAGTAACTGCTACCAAGTATTAATAGGTTTCTGCTCAGTGACTGACAGACATCAGATCTGAAAGGCACTGAAGACCCATTGCAAAACTAGTTGTCTTTCTCTGCTGCGGGTTTTGCTAGCTGAGAAGGTGATGTAGGGTAACTTCTCAGCAGGGTATTGATTTTGAGTGCTAGGGAAAGCAGCATGATTGGAGGAGAGGCATATTCCACTGTTACACTCTGTTACCTTTGTTTTACATTTAAAGGAAACATTTGGGTCTACATGAAATTTGGATGACACATTAGGGGCAATTTCCTCAGTGTGATTGTGATTCGGGTTGCTGATTAGAGAATCAAGACCTCTTGAAGGACTCCTGAAGGATTCTGTTTGTGAAACTGATTGGTTAAGGGCTGTTTCCCAATTGCGAGTTCCATTTTCCTTAGAGAACTGAAGTACAGTGCCTTTCAGAAACAGCCAAAACAGATTCTTCGAAAAGTATAAGCGAGCCTTGAGCTCTCAGTCCCTAACTATGCAAGAAGAAATGTCAGCTGCTCTGACAACCTGCTCTAGAAGAGGCCTGACCTTTGTCCCTGGCTTCCAGAACATAATCTCTAGTGTCTTTTTTTGCCTAAGGGACTCAGGTCACAGTGGATGCAATTTATGGGGGGGGGGGGGGGGGCACCCTTCACAGGGTTGTAAGGCACTCTCATATGGTCTTAGGGTTGGGACTGGCCTTCCCAGAAAGACCAACATGTGACTTTGGATGGGGATTTTGGGTGACCCAGTATCAGTAGCCTAAAGATAGACCAGCCACATACCCAGTCAATCAATTATGCCTACATAAATAAAGCTCCAGTAAAAAGTGAACACTGGGGGAGCTGGCAAGTGGCATAGTGGTTGAGGTGCTGGACTCTCACATGGTCAACTGGAGTTCAAGTCCCAAGCCTGGCAGCTCAAAACCACAACAAATAATTAATTATTTAGAAAGAAAGTGAACACTGAGACCTAGGTGAGCTTCCTTGGTCAGCAATACTCTGTGTATTGTCACACATCCAAGTGACACAATGATACCATGACATGTCCTGACTCCACAGGGAAAACGCAACAGAAGCTCTGCATTTGGAACCCCTCCAGACTCTGTTGTTAACTAAAAATGACAGGAGGCCATTGTTTTGGACTAAGCTGCACTAAACTGCAACAGACCCAGACTGAAATCAAAATGGAGTCACTCATGACTCTATTTTTTCAAGCCTAAACCAAGTTGGTATCTGACCTTATGAGAAATCAGGAGAGATGACAATCTAGAATCCCAAATTAAGTCCCAGTTTCAACCTGCACGATAATGATTTCTCTCTATTTTATCTTTACACGAAAGAAGTAATCTGATGTTACCTACTCAGTTATTTACTTATTGTCTGTCTTCCTATCCCACTTTAAAAGTAACTTTGAAATGACCAATCCTGGGGCCAGCTTCTTGGATGCTGGACCCACATGGAAGATCACAGTTTCAGTTCCCTACTAGACTTGCATATGGTGGGTACAAGTCCCCATGATCCTGGCTGCCTGGGAAGGTTGGGGACGAGGTGATGTTTCTCTATGAGACCCTATTGAGGGTACTTGTCTCTTTCTTTCTCAGGAAAGAAAGTAGCAAGCTTCTCCCCCCACCACCACCATTTTTTTTTTTTTTGGCGAAGTTTTTGCTATAGGGTGCGTGCCCTCGCCAGACAGACAGAGAGAGACAGAGAGACAGAAAGCGAGAAATCACCCCCTGGGGGGATGGCCACGCTGCAATCCCTTCTCCTCCATTCTCCTCTTGGGATCTTGGGCATGCACGCACAAGCGCCCGGCATGAGTTTAAGCCACCGGGTCCGGGACGCAAACCGCGGTCTACTACATGGGAATCCAGTGACATAGCCATTACGCTAACTGCTGGTCCCCATTTTTTTTTTTTTTTAAGAAAGAAATTTTTTCAGTAGGGCACGTGTGCTCACTTGAAAGACACAGAGAGACAGAGAGACAGAAAGGGAGAAATCACTCCCCAGGGGGGATGGCCACACCGCAATCCCTTCTCCTCCATTCTCCTCTAGGGATTTTGGGCACGCATGTACATGTACCTGGCATGAGTTTCAAGCCACCGGATCTAGGATTTGAACCATGATCAACTATGTGAGAGTCCAGCAACATAATCATTATGCCATCTACTGGTCCCAGTAAGCCTTTTTATTTTCTTTTTTAGTATTTTTGTTTGTCATAAGGTACATGTGCTCACCAGAGATGAGAGAGACAGAAAGATACAGAGAGGGAAAATGAGAAATCACCCTTGGGGATGGTCAGGCTATAATTCTTTCGCCTCTCAGGGTTTGGGGCACCCATGCATGTGTGCCCAGCATGATTTTCCAGTTGTGGGTCTGGGACTCAAATAGCAGTCAGCTACGTGGGAGTCCAGTGCCTTAACCACCATGCCACCTGCTGGCTCCAAGAAAGTAGCAAACTTCTTCTTTTTTTTTAATTTTTTTTTATTTTTTGAGAGTTTTTTGCTATAGGGCATGTGCACTTGCCAGACAGGCAGAGACAGAGAGACAGAAAGTGAGAAATCACCCCACGGGGGGAATGGCCACGCCACAATCCTTTTCCCTCCATTCTCCTCTAGGGATCTTGGGCACGCACACACACGCGCTCGATGTGAGTTTAAGCCACCGGGTCCAGGACTCGAACCGCGGTCGACTACATGGGAGTCCAGCGACATAGCCATTACTGCTGGTCCCAGAAAGCAGCAAACTTCTAAAAAAGAAAAAGAAGTGACCAATCCACTTTTGTATTTTGTTTATGCTTTCTTCAACCAATCTCTTCTGCTCAACTCCTTGGAACACCTTTTCACTTACACCTCAATCTATGCTTCAAGTGTTG